AATATTTTAATAGGCCTAAGTGGTGTAGGCTAATATCTTCTGTACTTTGTAGACCTAAGCTACCACACAGCTGTATATAGGCCTAAATACAGAACTACAGAGTACAGAAGATATTAGCCTACACCACTTAGGCCTATTAAAATATTCTTTAAAAAAAAACTGACCCGAAACAATAGGTAGTCCTTCAGAATGTAGGCTAGATATAGGCAGCAGTAATTTATAATCTAATATAATGCACGCAAATTTGTTCTTTACAGAACGGAGCGGGATCTGAGCGGGAATTGGTTTACGGTGAGCGTGAGCGGAATATTAACGGAGCGCTTGCTTGGGCGGTTAGAGCGACTGAGCGGAGCGCACGTCCATAGAGCGGAAAACGTAGCGGAGCGTCACACCGCTCCGCTTCGCTCACATGCTCTGGCGGTCATATTGATAAATTACTGAAAGTTAAGTGTCTTCCAGACCCCAACTAAGCAAGCCAGAAGGAAACAGTGGCAAGGAGCCCAAACTCCATCAATAATAAGACCAGAAGAAAAATAAGACACTACAGGGCTGTTACTTAAAGTGATATTTCACCCAAAAATGAAAATTCTGTCATCGTTTACTCACCCTCAACTTGTAAATAAAAGAAGATATTTTGAAGCATATGGGTAACCAAACAGTTAATGGTCCCCATCAACTTCAGTGTTATGGGAAAAAATACTTCAACTGCTCTTCTGTGGCATAGTTTGGAATTATTTTCATTGTACAATATATGCGGTATCGAATGTAAATGTAACTTAAAGGGGTAGTTTGCCCAAAAATGAAAATTTGTTCATTTTCATCAGGAGGTGTCACTGATGTGAAATTAATTATGTATATTTAGGATTTTATATGTCATTAAAGGGTTAGTTCACCCAAAAATGAAAATTAGCCCATAAATTACTCATCCTAGGTGTATATGACTTTCTTCTTTCAGACGAATCCAGTCGGAGTTATATTAAAAATTGTCTTTGATCTTTCAAGCTGTTTAATGCCACTCAGCGGGTGTTGCATGCATCACTCCAAAAGAAGTTAAATAAAAAGCACCCATCCATAAAAAAAGTGTCTCACATGGCTCCGGGGGGTGAACAAAGGCCTCCTGTAGCGAATCGATGCGTTTTTGTAAGAAAAGTATCCATATTCAAAACGTAATAATCATTTTAATGTAGCTTGCGCCAACAGTTGTACACGGAAGCAGCTCTGGGCTGATGACGTATCAGGTCAGCGCTGCGCATGCGCCGATGAGTCTCGTGAAAACCAACGTTTGTTAAAGGGGTGGTTGACTGGTTTTTTTATAGGCTTTATTGTGTTTATGGGGTGCAGTCTAACATGTGTTAATGCTTCGTTTGTTAAAAAACGCATTATTTTTCACATAATTTACCTTTATTCCACACCTCTCTGTCCCTTCTCCTCTGAACGCACTGATCATTTCCTGCTTTTATGAAGCCCCTCCCTCAGAAATACACGATGGGCTCTGATTGATTAGCTGGCCCAGTGTGTTGTAATTGGCTAAACCGCCTCTAGCGCGAGTCTAAACGTCCCGCCCCTCAACATAGCGGCATGTGCTCCGGTTGTATTGTAAACAATGACGTTGTCTATATTGCTTATCAATTTGAGCCCGATTGAGACGCAGAGGATATTAGTGAAGAGGATCGCGCAGAACCTGTGCAAGCACGGCTTTTAATGGTAGGCCTAAGATTTTTGTTTGTTGTTGTCTCATACTTTTAGATACGCTGTTATTTGTAAATGCTACTGCTTCTGTTAGCTTTTAATATACGGTTTTATATTAATTAAAGCTTTAATACAGTTCGGCAACCACATGCGTATAACTATTATATAACTATAACCACAACTATGTATAACGCTTCTCATAACTATAGTATGTGAAAATAAGTGTATTCACTGAGCTGATGATCTGAATGAGAGAGAGGGAGATGCAGAGCGTGTGCAGAGCAGGGCGAGACCAGGAACAGGATGAGAACCGCTGCTTTAGAACATTGATTTTGAAACTTGTGAATCCATTAGAATCGTTAGAAGACAGAATTGGCGCAAGCTACATTAAAGTGATTATTACGTTTTGAATATGGATATTTTTCTTACAAAAACGCAGCTCCGGGCGGATGACGGCCTTTGTTCACCCCCCGGAGCCGTGTGAGACACTTTTTTTATTGATGGGCGCTTTTTATTTAACTTCTTTTGGACTGATGTATGCAACACCTGCTGAGTGGCATTAAACAGCTTGGAAGATCAAAGACAATTTTTTATATAACTCCGACTGGATTTGTCTGAAAGAAGAAAGTCATATACACCTAGGATGACTTGAGGGTGAGTAATTTATGGGCTAATTTTCATTTTTGGGTAAACTAACCCTTTAATAAAAGCAATTTTGTGATATTGACCAAAATGTCAGATTTCCTTGCTTCCACTAAAACGCATAAGATTCTCTTTGGAACATTCTCAAATCATGGTGGATAACATGGATCATCAGGTTTTGCACAAACCGGCTTGTTTTTGCTTTTTTCTGTAGGTTCAAGCACAGCTCTTGCAGTTTGCGGCAAAAAACATTGGACTGAATCCTGCACTTTTAACCTCACCAATAAATCCTCAACAAATGACCCTGCTCTACCAACTACAACAACTGCATGTGGTGAGTCAAACAGTTCACTCTCCTGCTCTGCTGTTTCCACATGAATACCAATGATTGTCATCTACCCACTCATCTGCCTATCTGCAGGGAGCGAGATGCTAGTGCTTTCTGTTCTGATAATGACCCTGTGACCTTTCTATCTCTATTTTTATTTCTTTATATTTCTCTGTATGTTCCTCTCTTTCTCACCTTGCATCTTTTTCTCTTTCTGTCAGGCGTATCAGCGTTTGCAGATTCAGCAGCAAATGATGCAGGCTCAGCGTAATGTCTCTGGTCCCATCAAACAACAAGAGCAGCAAGTATGACACATACACACTCCAATTTTACTGGCCCTGATATTTATACAGTTACAGTAATTTAAATCCTAAAGTATTAGTTCATAGTTATCTTTTGATGACTATGACAAATAATCCTCCATATACAGTGAAAATGATTATCATTTTCGTCCTCTCACACAGGTTGCACGTACAATCACAAACATGCAGCAGCAGATCCAGCAGCACCAGCGTCAGCTGGCCCAGGCCCTGCTTATGAAACAGCAGCAGCCTCCACCTTCCTCTCACACTGGCCTGCACCCAAACCTTGGCAAGGCCAGCCTGGACACTTTCACGGGTCACCCTCAGACTTCGGGCCTCTCCGTCTCAGACCTGCAGACCAAAGAGCAGCAGTCTTCTCCAAACTCCTTCAGCCCTTATACACTCTGTAAGAGAACAAGCCTCATGTGGACACATGCCTGCATGCTTATGCTTGATGTGTGTGTGTGTGTGTGTGTGTGTGTGTGTGTGTGTGTGTGTGTGCATGTGCATGTGTGTGTGAGTGTGAGTGTGAGTTTGCACTTTTCACTTTATTTTACAATGTCCATGTTATGGTCCATTTTATGTTACTGTAGTAATACCAGTAAATTATGCAGAATTACAAGCGACTAAGACAACCCCTAACCCTAGAGTAAGTACATGCTGTTAATTGTAATTATTTTAATAATTAAACAGTAACAAGGACATCTTAAAACAAAGTGTAATTTTTAAATAGTAGCTGATAATTGCACTAATTTCTTTATTGTAATAAAAGCATTGTTTGTAATTATAGTCAATTTAAAACATTTATTTAGTGTGATTTAAAAAAGTATAAAACAATGCAATAAAAATTTGAATGTACTTTATTTTGTCCCTTTACCTGTACTTCAATTCTTTTTTTGTTTGCCATAACAATGCCTATCAATTATCTTCATTTGGGGCTTCATTGGGGCATTTCTCAACAAATATTGATATAAGTGAATAATGAATTGGAATATTGTGTAATAAATGTGATTATTTTTTGATTCATTGATTGACAAGCTATAGTTTTTTTTTTTTAGTTATTTTGATCTTGATCAATGTTTTTTTTTTTTGCCTTGTGTTTGTGTGTGAATGTCCATTAATCTCCTTGTCTCTTTGTCGCCCCCCTGTAGCTGGTTTGAACCCGAACATGAATGTAAACTGTATGGAGGTGGGAAGTCTATCTCTTAAAGACCCCCCTCAGCCTCAGTCCCGGCTCTCACAGTGGACTCATTCAAACTCCATAGATTCCCTGTCAGCTAGCGCTCAGCACATGGAGGCAAACCTCAATAAGCACGGTATTAATTTATTTATTGCTCCAGACATATTATGGGCTTTATTTTGTGCTGTGACATACATAAGATTTTCTAATCTAATCTATAATGTCAAGACAATCATATGATATCCTCTAGGTCTAATCCTTCACAAACAACATTACATTCAATGAAACCACAGAAACCACTTGGGGGTTAGAGTGGCCTGGGTGGCCTAATGGTTAGAGAGTCGGACTTGCAACCCAAAGGTTGCGGATTCTAGTCTCGTACCGGCAGGGAGGTGGGGGGAGTGAATGTACAGCGCTCTCTCCCACCTTCAATACCACGACTGAGGTGCCCTTGAGCAAGGCACCGAACCCCCAACTGCTCCCTGGGCGCCGCAGCAAAAAAATGGCTGCCCACTGCTCCGGGTGTGTGTTCACGGTGTGTGTGTGTTCACTGCTGTGTGTGTGCACTTTGGATGGGATAAATGCAGAGCACTAATTCCGAGTATGGGTCACCATACTTGGCCACGTGTCACGTTTACACTGAGTCACAATTTCTGTCCCTGAGATTTGTGTATACCAAAAGGACAGACAAAACTCTCTCTCAAGTTAAGTGCTTGCAGACATTCCAGAGTTATTTTTACTCTGAGTCAGCAGGGCCTTTTAAAATATTATCCTTCCTTGGCATTTGTTCTCACTAAACCTTGCCTGAACAGTAAGTCCAGCCAACCCGCAGCAATTTACTGGAGTGAGTTCAGCTGAGGACAAAAGCTCAAGCCTGTAATCTTGAATTTTATTATTCAGATTGTATCTTTGAAGATGGATTTTTTTAGAGAGGCAAAATAGCAGTTCAGATATTGGGCATCATAATATACTGTATATCTGGGTTTGGTTGCTTAGTCTCTAAATGTTTTATTATATGATGTTTTTGAGTAAAACCTCCTGTGAATATACAGATTAAACAGATTGCTCTTTTGTTTCAGGTTCAATCTCTTCTGCTCAGTCCCATGTGCCTGTCGGAAAGAGCACCATGGAAGATTCCTTCAGCCCATACAATCTGATGTCAAGATCTGAATCCTTGGTGTCTCCAGACAACTGGACACAGGGCAAAGGTCCCAATGAGAAAATCTCTAGTAACTCCAATATCAACTGGCCTCCTGGTAAGCTTCAGTGGCATATTATAATTAAAAATATATAAATAAATAAAAAATGTATTGCCGTTGGTCATAGTGATTGTAGACCAAACATCGGCAACCTATGGCACACATGCTAGCATTGGCACCCAAAGGCATAAACACTGGCACACAAGCAATAGCAAAAGAGGTATTTAGTTTGAATAAAGTCCCTCAAACCCTCATACCAACATGCATTTTGAGGTAATCAATCCTCATAGCCTGATTCCTCACAGCCTGATTTACTAAATTAGGGGCTTTAAATACTTACAAAGTGTGAGAAATAACCTGCGCTAGTAAACAAATGCGCACTAGATTTCAGGTACAGAAATATAATAATTAAGTGTAAATTAACACTGCAAAGTGTTCACTGTATAAGTTAAATATAGATTCATCTTTGCTAAAGTTGTGTTTTGTTGTTTGATTAAAATTAATGACAGACGGTAGCAGATATTTATAGGCTGCTGTCCCTTTAAGACCTAATGAGGTCTTAAGGGGGTCCCTTTAAGACCTAATGAGGTAAAGACCTAATAAGTTAAATATAGATTCATCTTTGTTAAAGTTGTGTTTTGTTGTTTGATTAAAATTAATGACAGACGGTAGCAGATATTTATAGGCTGCTGTCCCTTTAAGACCTAATGAGGTCTTAAAAGACCCTTTAATACCTGGCAATAAAGCTCATTCTGATTCTGATTCTGATTCTAATGCGCGGATCCAATATACTGTTACACATGCGATTTCTTTCTGTTATGAGTGTTATGAGACTCCTTCTCTTTAGCCTCTTCTTGCGCTTGAATGGTTTAAAATCGCTTAAATGTTTAAATTGGCAAGACTTAGACACAAGTTCAAATTATATACTTTCACTCTATGATGGTTAAGCTTTGCAACTAATCCGCAAATCACATGGCTACCAAGCCATAGAGCCTGGTCCGCATAGATCATGGTCATGTTTTTTTATGTGTATGGGATGGCACAGTAATTAACCAGACAAATTAAAGATGGAACTCCATGACCAAAAGGTTGCTGACACCTGTTATATACTTTGAATTTTATGCTGGAAAACCAATTTTGTTCTTGCTTTCTCTCAGAATTCTGCCCTGGGGTGCCATGGAAAGGTCTGCAGAACATTGACCCTGAGAATGATCCCAACATGACCCCAGGAAGCGTTCCAAGTGGCCCCACCATTAACACTAACATACAGGATGTGAATCGCTACCTGTTACGTGACAGGACTGGAGGTGAGGGATGATTGATGGCTTATGACATAAGTTATAACAGACCAAAAGAGCTTGTTACTTAAAATTTTGATGAAAATTTTTACTGCTAAATGAACATTGCATTCTTAACTAAATAATAAAGCTATACCAGAAATCACTATTTTAAGGATCATTACACAGTAAATGTATAATATTATTTATATTAGCCTCATCCCCATCTCAGAATGGGACTATGTCTTCCTCGAGTGAGTGGACAGTCAGTGCCTGTAACACGTTCGGTCTGTCCTCTCAGAACGAGAGGGATGCTAAAACCCACATTCTCCCTTGTTCTGTTATACTTCTTCCTGTTTTAAATGTTGATCATTGTCAGAAACAATAAACTAATTTAAAGTTTATATATATGCATATATACAGAATGTGTTACTCTCTGAGGCCATTCAGAGCATGTAGCATTTGAAAAAGTCAGCGAGATACTTTTTAGGAGTGAATATTTTAATGTTTAAAACACCTGTTGAGGGAGGTTGCAGCAGGTTATACAAGCAGACATTTATAATAATCTTATAATAAACATGTACAATATTCAAAAAAATGTTGATCACTGGCTGAACACTTCATTCCTTATATCATTCTGTTGAATCAAGTCTCTCTATCACACAGTTTCCCAGATTTCCTGTTTCGGTAATACTGATAATAGTGTCAACGTTTTTAGTGATTACTACTAAAAAGTTTAGGGTCAGTAATATTTTTTAATGTTTCTTAAATAAGTCTCTTAGGTTCACCTAATCTGCTTTTATTTGTTTAAAAATACACTAAAACAGTAATATTGTGAAATATACTACAAACTGTTTTCTATTTTAATATTTTAAATAAAATACTTAAAATATTATTTATTCCTGTGATGGCAAAGTTGAATTTTCAGCAGCCATTACTACAGTCTTCATTGTCTCATCATTCTAATATGCTGTTTTGGTGCTCAATAAATAATTCTTAGTAATAAAATAATAGTTGTGCTGCTTAATATATTTGTGGAAACTGTGATAACATTTTTTCAGCATTCTTTGATGAATAGAAATTTAAAAAGAACAGCATTTATTTGAAATAAATGGCCATTGGAATGGACTTTCTTTACCCCACTGTGGCTGTTTGCATAACCCCAAGCAGAAACAAATTTATGTTGTCATATTGTTTTAACAAATCCTTAGAGGCAACAATGAGTGGTGACTGTACCTGCTGCTGTTATTCATTTGTCCATCTCTTTCTTCGTCTCCTCCCTTTCTTCAGGTAAACTCTTGGAAATGAAGTCTACCTGGTCCCCTGGACCCATCTCCCACACACAGGCCTCTTTATCTCATGAGTTATGGAAGGTTTCCACAGGGACACGTAACTCCAGTGCTCCCTCACGCCCCCCTCCAGGCCTGACCAACACCAAGCCCTCCTCCACCTGGGGAGGAAACTCTCTTGGCCTCAGCCAGGGCTGGACCAACTCTTACTCCTCAGGTAAATCCTCAGTACACCTGTGTGGTACAAAGCAGCACAACCAGTTACTTACGAGGTTCTGCTGTAGTGTGGCCGACCAGTCAGACTCTGTCTCATGTTGTGTGTTTAGAGTTGCAAATGGGCAGAAGTCAAGTATTTAGTGGAAAATATGCTCAGCTGTAACATGTTTTTCCAGACCTGTCTCTCTTTACTTTTTGTTATAGAAGGAGGAACTTGGAGCACTGACAGTCTCAACAGAGGAAGCAGCTGGCTGGTGCTGAGAAACCTCACTCCTCAGGTGCATAGTGCAAACAATTTATATTACTGTAAAAACTAGTATGGTTTATTCCGATTCATATCGCATGAAAGTACAGAACTAAATGTCAGTTTTTATGTAGCATTATGCACTATACTATTTTAGTGTTTTTTGTGGGCACTGTGCTGCTATTTAATTGTTTTGCAATGTAAAGAATTAAAAAAAAATTTAAAAATTTTTTTTTACTGCTGCAGTATGTCTTGCTGTTTTTTCAGCATCTCTGATATGAGTATAAAAGTTTTGACACACAGCAAACCTCAACAATATCAGCTTCAAAACACTGGGCCAATCAGAGGGAGACATAGGCAGGCATATTCTAAGCATGAGTTTACAGTGGCATCCATGTATCATTTTTCAGCATTAAAATATGAGGTTTTTAGCTATACAGGGATATAAGAGAGGATTTTAGAACACATTGTTTTTATTTGTCACTAACTCACCACCTAGCAACGAGACACAGATTTCTGTGTGTATAATGTGTTCGTAATCATAAAAAGGGCATTTCAAAACCCTTGCATTCTGTGAAGCTCTTTTTTACAATACCTTGCCTGTTTTCGCAAGAACACATTCTCTCTGAACAGCCCTTTAGCACTTGAATATGAATAACAATAATTTAATAATTTATGTATGTGTGTGCATCAGATTGATGGCTCCACCCTGCGGACTCTGTGCATGCAGCACGGCCCTCTCATTACCTTCCATCTGAACCTGACACAGGGCAATGCTGTTGTACGTTACAGCTCCAAGGAGGAGACTGCCAAAGCCCAAAAATCCCTGCACATGTAAGACTACAATCTCTTCTACATCATACGTCTCTGAGGCGCTGTCCCAAATGGCAACCTAAAACCCACGGAGTCCACACTTTTGTAACGTAATGCCGCTTTGACTGTTGGTTAAAAGTCTGCTTCGGAGCCCTACGGTCTCATGGACTTTACAGTCATGTGCACACGGCTGGCATTGTATGTCCACAAGACTGAAGTGTGCAATTTGAGACAGGGCCTGAGAAAATGTTCAAGAACAGATTTATAGTTATATTTACGATTTATAGTGTTAGCCGTATGCCTTTTGTTTTCTAAATTCAAGTCCTATATTTTTTGAAAACCTTCTAGATAAATGTGCATTGTCTTTCTCTCTTCAAGCTGATTTTATGTATTATCCATCAAGAAAGCTTTTTCATGCTTGAATCCCTTTCCAATTGTTTGTCTACCTCTCAAGGTGTGTGCTGGGTAACACTACCATCCTGGCAGAGTTTGCCGGTGAGGACGATGTGAACCGCTTCTTTGCACAGGGCCAGTCCCTTACCCCCACCACCAGCTGGCAGGCCAGCCCAGCACCAGGCTCCAATCAACCCCGGCTGGGCAACCCTGCTGCCAGCCACCCCACAGGCCTCTGGAGCGGGGGTGGAGGAGGTACCAAGACAGTCTGTAGTACCAGGAACAGCAGCCGCGGAAACGGAGGCGACCTGCTGTGGGGCAGTGTGCCGCAGTACTCCAGTTTGTGGGCTCCCCCAAATGGAGACGACCCCAGGGTAATCGGCAACCCCATCCCAATTAACGCTCTGATCCCGGGAGACCTGCTGAGCGGAGAGAGCATGTAGGATGTATCGGACATCATAAACCAACAAAGTCAAAAGACCTAATGGATCAAAACCCAAGCAAATCAATGTGGCGATAATCACTTTTTGTGGAGCTGTAACGGAGGTTTAGGGTGAAACAAAGCTGCAAACCTTCCACTGCTGTTTATTTGTCCTCTGGTTTTTACGTCAGACTGTTTGTTGTGTTCGTGGATCTTGTTCTTAGTGTTCAAAGACCTTGAGAAGCAAGAATCAATAGAAGCAGAAGCCTTTTGATGCTTTTTTATTTCCAAAGTATGTTTTTGCTCAAAAGTGTTGTTCAGGAGAAGCCATCAACGAGGCAGCCATCTGAAAGCGACCCAGACACAGTGAGACCTCATGACACATTTCCCTATAACGACACTGTTCTGATGATTGGAATGATCCTGGTACTTTTTTTGGTTTTAAACTTTGCATAGTTTCTTCAGAACTTCTATTAGCCGTAAGTGCTCTCTCTCCAGGTCCTCCTTAAAAACTTTTATTTTATAAAACCAACAAAAAAAGAAAACTTTGTATCTTGCACAGTTCTGTTTCTGAGCCAGCGAATAGGCCAGAGCAAATGAGAAGAACACTCCTAGCAGTGGCCTGTCAGCATGACGAATCACCAATGATCTTTTTTCTTCAATTATTTTAGTTTTACAAAAGGGAGCTGCACTGCTCTATGATTTCTATTTACTCACGTCAGTTGTTTTTTTGGGGGTTTTTTTGTGTATGGTTAAAAAAAATAAGCTCAATGTTAAGCTTTGATGTAGATGAATGAATGTCAGTGTCTGCTGGAACTTGACCAAGCATCTGTGCGCGAATACATAACCACTGTTAAAAACACTCAGTGGAGGCTTTTTAATTATACCTAATGGACTTCAGTGCTGAATCAATCAGAAGATATTTAGTTACTATGTTATGTATCTGATCGGCCATTTTATTGAGATACAACTGAGAGAAGAAACTCATTCTGATGCATTGTGCAATAGAAGCCAGAGACCCTTTCTTCCGTCCACACTGAAGCTTACTGAAACTTAAGACTCCTTTTTTTTTTCTCGAAGATTTTGGAAGAATTTAACCTTTGAACATTTTCCTACCTTGCCTCTGTTTTTCTGGCTTGCTGGCTGTGGAAAGGGGGAACTGTTAATTGTGTTTGACGTCACTCCATGCAGTTTTAAACTCGGCATGTGTGGGATCACACAGTCTCCCAGCCACTTCTTCACCAAACAGAAACGGAATCCAGAGCGGAGACACATGGCACGGGAGTCAGGCACAATACCAAATACAATGGGTTTCTCTTAATGCAGTACAGAGTAAGAGACCTTTGCATTTGGTACAAACATAAAAGACGCGTTGTCTCTTCTTAAAGGGGTATTATCATAGCACTTATTACAAGAGTTATGCTCCTTCTGTGAAGCCAATAAATCAGATAATGGAGCATATAGTTAAAAAAAGAAAAAGAAAAAAAAACAACAAGAACTTCTTATGGCAACTTTTAACTTTTTTTTTTTGTACCTTACTGGTATTCAAAAAAAATTATTTGTTTGTCGTCCATCTCTGGTCCAGAAACTTCAAAAAATCTGAATGAAGGGAAGAACAAACTCTACAATCATACAAAACTTGCAATGTATGTTTTTTGTGTCTGTACTTTTCCCCCTCTCTATCAAAGTGAATGTCATTGTTATTCAAATGAAATAGTCAAATGTCTTTATCTGTCTGAAGGAGGCACCTCCATTTGATTGGATTTGAAAAGGAGGATGTGTGGTCTTAGTGCCTCAATGTGGGAACTGATAGGAGGACGTTTGATTCTCCATCGCAACTCTCTCCGTGCACTTAGTACAATGGAATGCAAGAAAGGACATTAATGACGTCATGATATGGACGTTGTCGTCATCATTTATCATTTGCATCCGTGTTGTAGTAATTTGGAATGTCACCCCGTTCCTTCTCTGGATAACATCACACGTCTCATGCGTCCTTACCTACTCCCTCCCTCGTGTGGTCTTGCATGATTTTTTTTGCTGGAGTTTGAGACTGAATGGAATTGCCAGTGTTGTGAAACATGCTTTTTCACATTCTTTTGGTCTTCATGCAGTGGTCCTTAACTGCCTACAGTGCTCATATGCAGATACACTTTAAAAGAGGTGCCTCTGTATAGCTGTCCTGTGTAACGAATGCAAACGAAGAACAATGATGTGGGCCATACTTATTTTTGTTGTTAACAGTGTTCTTAGGTCATTTAGGGCCTCTTTTGTTGATGTGCGTATGTGTGACCTCACCCTGGGTGTCCCACCTCTAACTCAGCTGCTACCATCCTCTTTCTCTTATGTGGCCTCAGTGAAGCCAACCCTGTTACCGAGACAAGCCGCCCGTACTTGAAAAAGCCCTGTCCAAGCAGTGTTTCTATGGACAGACTCTTTCTGCCAATGGTTCTTTAACTACAGCACATGGCATGCTGTCACTATGCAAAGTTAGAGAAGATGGGCAAGTAATGTCCGCCCTGTGCCAATCTGTGGCTTTGGAAGAAAGTTGGAAATATCTCACAGTCCTCCCGTAATACTTTCTTACATACTCAAGGCCATTGTCATCCTTGTAAACTTGTAAACAAAGAATGTTTTCTGACACTAAATCATTTTTGGAGGTCTGTGTGTTAATTCTGCTGAATTTGATAAATCTCATTTCAATATAATCTCAGGGGACGACAAGATTAACTAAATTGATGTTTATTGAAAGTTGATCGTTTTGAAGATTTATCATTTACACATTAAAGTTTTACACATTAAATTGTGTATGAAGCTTACAAAGTGTACATTAAAGAAACGCAAAAGGGATATTTATCAGTGGGGCAGTAAATTTAGGAGTAAATTTTGGCTAGTTTGAGTCTTCTCAATCCTTTTGAACAGGGACTACTGCAGAGCCATCAGTTCGTTTATATAGTAAATGTATATTGTGTATCTTACCTCTCTGCTGCTGGTTGTATTGAATTCCCCTTATGGTCTCATGTGCCAATATATACATAGATATATGTACAGTACACTGTGGCATCTCTGACTTCACATCTTAAATTCCAATGTGTGTCGTTTTGTTGTAGAGCACTTCTGTCCAGAGGCACTTTGATGATTCTTGTGTGTTTGAGGTGGGATTGGGTTCAAAAGGGTTGAGGATATTCGTCAGATATTTGTCACCTCATGCTGATTATTTGTGATAATCTTGTTACTGTCATTGGAAGAATCCTTTATAACAAACAAGAACTTTAACAGCATTGGGGATTATGGTGTGCTAATGGCATACAGATCATGAGTAATCCCTGGTACTTTTTTTGAATACCAAAAATGTAATAGCATTTTAATATATGTTTTTTTTTTTTTTTTTATAAAAGTTTGACAAAAACACGTAAACAATGAAGGAAAAAGATCTATAACATTGAAAAATGCACTTCTTGCTGATATTATCTCCTGTTTGCTGGTCACGTTCTGAAGGTTGACAGCAAGCTGGAGTGCCTTTTGTGTATGCCGTATTAACTGTTTGTTTGTAAAAATGGGGCCCTGAACTGTACATTTCCATCTCAGTCTAAGTTCGTTTTGGGCCTTTATGCTGTATAAACCTTCTTTTTTTTCTTTTGGGAAAAGACATTTCAACAGATGTGTCTTAAGATACTAAAGTTGTTCATTGACTTATTTTTTTTCTGTTTCTGGGTGTGGGGATCACTGTTGCCTGTGTATGTAACTGCCTTGTTCCAAACTCAGTCGCGGCTGGCTGACAGTGAACCACAATGTGGCTGTAATTCCAAACAGTCAAACATCACAGGAAGTCTCTGGTGACACCAGCATAGGTAGACTACAGCTAAACATTATCCTGTATATTATCACGCTCATTATGTAGAAAAATGCTATCAGATCTCTGATTCCTTCCCTTTTGAAACTACTAGGTAAAATATAATTTGAAATAAGCAATAGACCTTGCAGTGTGTCATCCGAGAGAATTTGCCTAAAGGAAAAAAACGAAAGAGTGATTAATGATAGATATGAACCAAATAGTCTTACTGGAGTAGCATGTTTAAAATTAAATTACACAGGACATACATGCAGTATTTGTGTATACCTATGTTGAAACCCGTAATTATGAACCATGTTTTTGTCTCTGGGCAAAGAACGAAAAATCATAAACATATCAAAAGATATAAATAAAATATTTATAAAAATGTGAGGGGTGTACTCACTTCTGTGAGATACTGTATATTCACCGATACTTGAATTAAAGTGTGCCAATTGTAAAATGTGAATTTATTTTTTCTTACATTTTTGTTTGGGTCTGACACTTTCAAGTTATTTGATAACATGCTCACAAGGTTTAACATTCTTCATGAGAAAGAAAAAAAAATTTGGTTAAAAAAAAAAAATGGTTAAAAAAAAACTCAAAAGTTTGAATGGTTGTGTGTGTGTGTGCTCTCTAATCACTGCTTCTCGTCACGGGGCAACTGTCTGCAATTATGATCCATTTAGTATGTTGTACTGTCTCTGTTATTTGTGTGCGCGCCTGTTTTAAAAATTGTTCCACCATGGTTACTATTTAGCATTGCACTGAGTGTCTTTTTTTCCTTGCTCAGCTATACTAAAAAAAAACCCCAGAAAACTGCAAGGGAGATTATGACAATTCATGTGTTAATGTTTACTCAAGGACTTGATGGATTTATTTTCATCTTAAAATGTTTAAAACCTGTAAAATTGTATCCTCATAGTGGCTTTTATTGTGGATTAATTCCCACAAGAGTTATCATTTTGAAGAGTGTTGCATCAATTAAATTGCATTATAAAAAAATAAAAATAGAAGATAAAAAGTGAACTTTAGCCACAGTGAGAAAGTTGGTAAAGAAGCAGTTACATTCATGGATGAACAGTAAAGATAACCAGATAGTTAGTGACATTCTGACTCATTTCAAAAGGTGCCTCTCTTCCATTCTGTGAAATTCCTTTTCTTTTTAAATCTACCTGTCGTTTACAAATGATTGAATTGTCTGAATTTGCCAAAAAAAGAAAAGTAAAGAAAAAAAAAAAAAAAAAAAAAAACTTCTCAAATGAAGACGTATGCTACTCCGGGATTGTATTTTGCTTATGAATTACATTATTGTTCTTGTTGGTTGAACTTGGCCTAAATGTCTTTGAATTTTAGTTTCTGTAAAAGCAACATGATTCTGTCACTGTCTTGCACACTGACAATGGACTTGGATATTTTCTCAGGAAGATTAGGGGTCCAGAGTTCCAGTTCCACTGTTATGATGTTGATTATCATGAGAATTTAACAAATCGATTAATGAAAGGGAAAAAAAAAAAGATGTTGATGGAAATCCAGCTCTAAGCACTGAAGGTTATGGATTTAAAATTTTATTTTTGAATTTTAATCTGTAGCAGACACACATTTGCCAAATATTAGATTTGTAGTGAACCTGTGTGCTATATTTCTAGAAGTGGAGTACTTTCCATTTGAAATATGTTTGTTTGTTTATATCTGTCGCTTTATGTACAAATACTGTTTTGTTTAGGTTGTGGAAGGACTTACCACTGTTTGATTTTACCTTGCCTGATGTTTCTCAACAAGGTCCAGTAAAAGATGCTTGATATTCCATCCTCTTGTCTTTACTTGTTTTAAAAATTCGGTTGAGGCCTGTATGCAAAGGCCTGAGAACTGTAGATCAACACAGAACTTGAACTCTTACTAGATTTTCTTACAAGGTTTTGAGTGCGGGATGAAAATACTCCAAGTTAATTCTCCATCTAGGTTTAACACTAGATGCAGAAATAAGATGTTGTGAAAGGATTAAGAATCTATGCACAAGTTTGAGGGGACAGTATATCCGGACACGCTATTCATACAAGGATCATTGTGGTGTGGTAGGTAAAGGGAATGTGGGGGGTGGGGGATGGGGATTTCAAGTTTCTTTGTACGAGTTTTGACTGGAATCAGCAGATATTAAAGTATTGTCACATTGCTCTGTCTCTCAACCAAGGAGCATAATCAACCAAGCACTGTAGGTTTATGCAAATCTCTGACATTCTGGTGTTTAAATGGAATGATGGGTTGTGAAAAGGGAATTTAACTGTTTCTCTTTATTGTTCATATACTAAGAACATGACTGTACTGAGATTTAACAATGTTGCTGGCTTTTAAATGTTTTTTTTTTTTTTTATGAAAATGAAAATCCTGTCATCATTTACTCACCCTCAAGTATTTCCAAATCTGTACTAGTTTCTTCTAGTGAACACAAAAGAAGATATTTTGAAAAATGTTGGGAACCAAACAGTTGCTGGTAGCCATTGACTATCTATAGTTCCATTTTTTTTTCTTCTCGCTATACTATAGAGGTCAATGGCTACCACCAACTGTTTGGTTACCTACATTCTTCAAAATATCTTCTTCTGCATTCAACAGAAGAAAGAAATGCATACAGGTTTGGAACAACATGAAGGTGAGTAAATGATAACATTTTCATTTTTGGGTGAAATATCCTTTTAATAGAATGTGATCGTTGAGGACTTGCACCGAAAAAAAGTCTTTATGTGGTATGGAGATTATTTCAACCTATATTAATAAACAGCATTTTTCCTCTTGAACTGTGTTTGTTTTTTATTTACGTTGTGAGCTAGTATTTCATTTACACCAAATTTAGTCAACATTTGGGTTTTTCTCTAAACTCTCTGTGCCCTCTGTAAGTAGTTTATATGCGGGCTGACATGGCAGTCATCTTGAACATACTGAAATGTGAGTTTGGCTATATGTTATTTAAGGCAATATAATACATTTTGATATTTACTGAGTGCGGGATGAAAATACTCCAAGTTAATTCTCCATCTAGGTTTAACACTAGATGCAGAAATAAGATGTTGTGAAAGGATTAAGAATCTATGCACAAGTTTGAGGGGACAGTATATCCGGACACGCTATTCATACAAGGATCATTGTGGTGTGGTAGGTAAAGGGAATGTGGGGGGTGGGGGATGGGGATTTCAAGTTTCTTTGTACGAGTTTTGACTGGAATCAGCAGATATTAAAGTATTGTCACATTGCTCTGTCTCTCAACCAAGGAGCATAATCAACCAAGCACTGTGGGTTTATGCAAATCTCTGACATTCTGGTGTTTAAATGGAATGATGGGTTGTGAAAAGGGAATTTAACTGTTTCTCTTTATTGTTCATATACTAAGAACATGACTGTACTGAGATTTAACAATGTTGCTGGCTTTTAAATGTTTTTTTTTTTTTTTATGAAAATGAAAATCCTGTCATCATTTACTCACCCTCAAGTATTTCCAAATCTGTACTAGTTTCTTCTAGTGAACACAAAAGAAGATATTTTGAAAAATGTTGGGAACCAAACAGTTGCTGGTAGCCATTGACTATCTATAGTTCCATTTTTTTTTCTTCTCGCTATACTATAGAGGTCAATGGCTACCACCAACTGTTTGGTTACCTACATTCTTCAAAATATCTTCTTCTGCATTCAACAGAAGAAAGAAATGCATACAGGTTTGGAACAACATGAAGGTGAGTAAATGATAACATTTTCATTTTTGGGTGAAATATCCTTTTAATAGAATGTGATCGTTGAGGACTTGCACCGAAAAAAAGTCTTTATGTGGTATGGAGATTATTTCAACCTATATTAATAAACAGCATTTTTCCTCTTGAACTGTGTTTGTTTTTTATTTACGTTGTGAGCTAGTATTTCATTTACACCAAATTTAGTCAACATTTGGGTTTTTCTCTAAACTCTCTGTGCCCTCTGTAAGTAGTTTATATGCGGGCTGACATGGCAGTCATCTTGAACATACTGAAATGTGAGTTTGGCTATATGTTATTTAAGGCAATATAATACATTTTGATATTTACATTAGATGAGAGCATGACCAAAAAAAAAAAAAAACAGTTGGCTCTCTGACTTGACTTTGTTAGCAGTCAGAGGTGATTGATTTATTGTGTGAGACTGCCTGCAGTTAATTTTATTTTCCAAATGTACTAGTCATGTCTTTGTGTAAAAGATTTTAATGAGGAAAACATTACTGAGGACACCTGTAAATTATGTAGCTGAATGGCACATGCAGAAAGTTAACGTGCTTCCTTTGATCATTCTGGTTCAGTTTTGCATAGCCTTAGGCTTAGAACATTTACAAAATTAGTAACATCTAAACTCTATCTGAACCTACTGCCAAGGAACAGGGTTATAAGCTAAATATGAAAAACTACTATAACCTTTCTACATTTTTTTCTTAAGAACAATTTAAAATATATGTGTAAATTGCTAATTTAACAAATTCCTAAATGGAAGAGTTGTCTTCTGCCTCTTGTGTTGGTTGCACTTATACAAATCATACACAAGAAGGCAGTATTGAGCTACATTCATTTCTATATCCTCACCGCAGTCCTTAAGGACAGCATCTTATTTACTCATCAGGCCTCTGAGACTTATTTGCCTAATCTTTATAGTATAAACATTTAGGCCTTTAGTGGTATTCTTTGTACTTCATTTCAGTTATGACCATAAATCATATTTACATAAACGAGTGTGAATAATGATACAGTATGGAGGTCTAATAATATACTGGTGCATCTTTTCACAGAATAAATGTAAAAAATCTCACTCTTCTCTCAGCTGTCACTTTCTTGGAATATTGTTGGCAATGGTATAGAGCAGGGGTGGCGAACTCCGGTCCTGGAGAGCCGCAGCCCTGCAGAATTCAGCACCAACCATAATAAAAACTCACCTGCCTGTAGCTTCCTAGTAACCCTTCAGACCTTGATTAGCTTGTTCAGGTGTGTTTGATTAGGGTTGAAGCAAAACTCTGCAGGGCTGCGGCTCTCCAGGACCAATGTTCGCCACCCCTGGTATAGAGAAACTCCCAAGACTAAAAGTGCTCTTGTAGGTGTTTTATGCTATAAATAACTATGGTCTATAAGTTACCATGGAAATACATCCTCAGGACCAATGCCAAGAGTTACTGTGAGGGAAAACAAGCATGCTAAGTTTGTCGACACTACACTCATTAAAAAAAAAAAATGTGTTGGATGAGTAAGCGTTTTTTTTCTATATGCATTTGAAAAGTGGCTAATTATAGAAAATCGGATAATCCTTGATAGGCTTTTATCTGACAGGCACAAGGCCACAGGTAATCACAGCCCTGCAGATAT